AACATGCCCTGGTTTAACCTTCAAAGGCCAGCAGTTTAAAAACAGTCACCAGTGTGGTCTGGACCAAGTAGACTGGATGGCCATCTGAAGGTCCTGCACAAGCACATTGGCCTACATGCAATCTGCTTACTGTGTTTGGAGAGTTATTACTGTACCTGTACATTTGTATTCATTTAGGTATTTTTAAAATATGGTATGTTAGCACTGCTCTTTGAAAACTAGTGTGTAATGTTTACTGGCACTGTGTCTGCTTTGGTAGCCAGAGACATATGCCTCCTAAGACTGCTATGCACAAGTCAATGAGCCAATAACACATCTGACCTAATACAGTTATATCCAGCTCTTTATCAACAGATGTCAGTGAACCACCTTTGCAGGGTGGTTCAGCAATTTGCAAAAGTTCCCAAAGCAATTCAGTAGAAGTAGGAAGAGAATCTGCAAATCCTTACTCTCCTCCACTATATTTTCCCCTTGTGGGTCTGGATAGGTGCTAGGTATCTAAAAGTCCACTCACCTGGGTGAATTGTTTGTAGATATGCTGCTCACATTCCTCAGCAAATAAACCAGTTCTGCCAGAGGGGAGAATATTTTGAATATATGAATATTTTTCTGTCAGCAATCTTTCTTTTACAACCATTGCTCCCTCATGTTGGTGGACACTGTTATTGGCTATTTCATATTTTGGGATATTCCTGTTTATTGGTCGTAGTGTTATCTTTTCATCAAGCTCCAGGATGCTTTTTTTCTGACAGTAAAAATTCAAGACAACTATTATATTTTCACTTCCATGAAAGCCACAGTATTTTCTAAGATTCTTTTTTTCTGACAAGTCGCCTCAAAAGTGTTAATAGTAAAGTAAATGATAAAGTAAATGAGTTTCAACAAATAATTCAGCTATAGCCTTGTACTTGCTTCTATCAGAGTCAGAGATGAAAGGGAAACTGGAATTTGCTTTGTGCTCTCATGTTTCTTTATGCAGAAGATTCCTAGATGTGTCCCCATAGCAGTCTGTACATAATTCCTGTAAAAGGACAATAGGAAAAGAAAGAGTAACACTGTCTGTTCTCTTCCTTTTCTTCTTTTTTTCCCCCTTACCATACGAGAGCACCATTTGTTCCAGAAGAACTTTACAATAGTATTAAGCATAATATTTTTCAGAAAGGGAAGATGTATTTTATGTTACACTTTGCAGAAAATCTTACTTGGTTGGAAGTACAATGCAGATTATTTTTTTTTTTTTTGTCTGCCCTCTAGTAATTCAGTTCAAAGGTGCTCCTTTGGGGAAATTACAGGGAGTTTACAGTGATGGTATCTCAGTTCATAGGTAGGATATTTTCACCTGCAATTCCCTCAGAGCTGCAGCTTTTGACCTCTGGCTGCATCTATCAGTGGTGATGTGACAGTGACAGAATATTTTGCTAGATTTTGAATGATCCCTGGAGTTCACAACTTCTGTCCTTAGCAATAAAATGTAATATGACTGAGGTTCTCTTCCCCATGCCACAGCTTGTCCTGTAGAAAGTATCACTGAATAATTTTTTCTTTGAGCCCTAGGGGAAAATTGCATTTTCAATTACTATTGCACTGTTACTCTTCATAATGATATTCCGTTATTAATTTGTATTTAATGAAAAACAGGATTCCGAGATCTATGTTTCAGGGCAGTTGTTTCTTACAAACATTTTCCTCCATAAATCAAGAACTCAAATAAACATGCTCATTTTTCATGTTCTGACATTTTACAGTTTCGTGACATTATTGTGTTTTCCTAGGAAATTGTTTCTTTTCCCTGAAAAAATTTTGAAGCATCTAATCATTTCAGTCATTCACTCTAGCAGTCTGCTGGCACTACTGTGTACACTCCTGTACTCAGAGCTCAGAGCTTAAGCCAAGATGACCCTTGAGCACAATTCCTTTTTATTTTTTTTTTTTCCCCTAGGAAGAAATAGAGAAAGGAAAAAAAAATGTGGAAAATTCTGACTGTACTTGAACTGCATTTTTTTTTTTTTCACTTTTCTGTTATGTACTTAGAGAAAACAAAACCTCAAAAAGAAATGGGATTCTCAACAGCAACATTGATGGTGAAATTGTAATAATCTAGATGTCAAAATATCACTAATCTTTGATGATACACAAAGCATCTTTCTGCTTCTTCCAGTATCGATCCTTCCTTAGCAAGAAAGACTAGTTTTCAATTCACATCTTCAGTTTCTAGACCAGAAAAATTCTCCTCTTTCAGGCTAGACTGAACATCAGGAAACTAAGATTTATAGGGGTAACAGTTTTCATTAGAGATAGGAAAGTGTTAAAGTGTGTGTACGATGCCATAATAAGGTAGATTTGACCCACTTTGTATTATCTGGACCAAAACTGAAGTCCATAAATCCATGGTTAGTAATTTTCAGTTGGTTCAGAAAGACTAATTTTACTAATACATGGAATTCTTATTAAAATTTTGATGACAGAAGACATTTGGGTTTGGCAAGAAATACTGTACATTCATGCCAATTCTTCAAGCAGTATTGTTATGTAGAGTTCTGGCTACACAAATTTTAAGAATTGACTTGGAGCTAGACAAGGCATAGAAATGGGCTGCTACAATGACTAAAAAATGACAAGGCTGTCACTTCAAAGGAGTTTATTACAGTTTGGTTTGTTTAATACAGTCAAATGGAAAGACCAAGAGGGCTGCTTTATGTAAGTAAGGAAAGCACAAGAGATGGAGAAGACCTGAAGCTAAAGGGTGGTGCTGACACGACAAAATACGAGATAGACAGGAATACATTCAGACTGAAAATATTTCTCTCCTTTAGAGTAGGAAAGACCTGGAATATCTTTCCAAGTCACATACTCAGATAGCTATATCATAAATTTATTAACAGGTTTATGTGATGTGAGTGTCCGCAGTAAAAAAGACTGAATTCATTGACCTACAAAAGTCTCTCCAAGATAAGGCATTTCTTTCAGAAATCCATGCAATATTGCTTAGCTACTCAGGTAGCTCCCTTTTAAATTTCTTTTCATGTTTAACTTTTTCCAGTTAGAAAACTACACTTTATTGCAGGTTTGAAATGTGCACAGCCATTCACCTATTGGACCTCACCGTGCCATTAGCTGCAAGATAAATTTCTGTGCTAATGGACATCTTCTACATCTGTGACTCCCTGCTACAGTGGCCATCACGGCTTTGCTGCCTGTGCAGTGAAGAGAGAAAACACTTTAAACACCATACAGCCTCCTGTCTTATTCTCTATATCAGTTGTGTGACCTTCCTTTAAGCTCGTTTCTGTAAATGTAGGCACAAGAATTTAATCTTTCTGGTCTACAGTGGCAAGGTAGTTCTGGACTCAGATGTTATTCTGGGGTATTGCATTGAAAGTTAATGTTGAGGGAGTTTTCCTTTCTGGCTCCATAAATCCTTCTGTGTCTCACTGCCTCCCAGAACAGAGTCTCCTCTCCAGTGAGCAGAATTGAGCTTGTCCAGGAACATCAACCTTCCACCTGACTGCATTCAAGATAAATTAAATAAATAAACCACATTTTACTACCTCTTTATTTAACTAGACAATGCAGACGATGTTATAATAATGACTTTCTCTCTCCTTTATACAGTTGCCCATGAATCATTGTATCACTTTTATATACAAGCATATCTTACCAGCAAATATTTTATATTATCCTGTAGATATTATTGCTTAGTATTCAGTCAAGAATGAATTCCCATCTCCTAATCAAACACCCTGATTTCCAATATCCTAATATGAGGCTCATAGTAGATATCTTTCTATGGATAAAAAATTTAGAGTTGTCATAGATCAGCTTCTGTGCCATCAGTGTTGTCCACAATTCCATATAGAACAGGTTTAAATCAAAACGCTGTATTATGAAGACACGTATCTTGAAAAATATACATGGAGACCATTTTAACATAGCCATCTTTATCAACTATACCTGTCATCCTGTCAAAAACGCATAAGAAGCTTGCTTGACAAGACTCCCATTCCAGCACAGCATGGTGACTGGCATTAATGAGATTTTTGCTTCCAATTCTTTATTGACAGAACTGAGGATTAACCATTTTGTTATTATGCATGGGATTAATGTTACAGTAATTCATCTGTAGTTCCCTAGGTAATTTCTTTTATTCTTTTAAGTTGTTTAACTACACTGGCAGAGTTGAAGTCCTTTGGATTTTCCTAATTTTCTGTATTTGATTTGCAGGAAGTAAATATAACGAGATGAAATCTGTGTTATTTAGCAAGTTGCTAATTTTTTCCTTACTGATTAACTTTCTTTGCCTGGCTAAGCAACATCAAATACTGAGAAATTCTTTACTGCATATAGGAGTTTCACTGTTAAGATGTCAGCATCTGTTATTGTTACAAACAACAGAAGTGTTGCTGTTTATCATATAAACACTCCATAAATGTCCACTTGTTTGAATCCAAAATAAAATACATTTCATTCCTGAATATAAAAATTAAACATTTAGCAAGTAGTCTATCCTACTCTTTAATAAATTAAATGTGATAAAAATGGCATAGATATTCACAGTGATAGATATAAAATTATGTATGTCCATAACCATTTCTAGACATAATTTTAATCTGTAAGCATTCCTTGTGTCTCTGAATCAATAATGTCTATGCAACTGTAGCATCTTCCTAGTAGAGCACTATTTCTCCTCACTTCCTACACTTAGTTTCATTAAACAAATTATAATCATTAATATAGGAGCATCGTCAACTCATGCTACTCTTCAGGTTGCTAGCAGAAGTCTGGAGATGTATGTGTTCTATAGGAGACCCTTACATTACAGCTGCTTTTAATACCACCATACTTTGTGTCTTTATCTGAAATACACATTTTCAGTATCTTCAGGTCATAAAACAGTGATGTATTGTTGTCTTTTGTGTATTTTAAATGGCACACTGTCCATAATTTCTAAACCAAAGAAGAACCATGAAATAATGCATTGGGAAGCTGTACTTATGAAAATTCCTGATATCTGGATGTATTTTGCTCATAGTCCTAAGTATGAAATATTTAAGCACATTGCACCTCTCTTTGATGCTTACTAATTTAGGGCAATTTACAACAAAGTTTTGGTGTTGATAAAACAGGTCTGGGTTGGCATTCCTCTGTAGTTTCTTTTTTTTGTTTGTTTTTCTTCCTATGTATTGTTGGTTTTTTATTTGTTTGTTTGTTTTTAACAGGTGACTATCCAGCTCCTCGCGCTGTTCTAACTGGTCATGACCATGAGGTTGTCTGTGTGTCAGTCTGTGCAGAGCTGGGATTGGTTATCAGTGGTGCTAAAGGTCAGAAATGGTTTTTGTTTAAGTCTTAACACTTTTAGAGCCTTTTTTGGTGGTACTTCTGAGTCTTTCCCTGAGCCACACATACTTTAATTATCCAAAGTCTCCTTTAATAAGATGTGCTGTAATTTTGGGGTAGCAACTTACAGTGAACATTTTTCCTATCTGGGCTTCCAAGCTTTAGACACAAATTAAGTTGATTTTTCCTTCCAGCCATCAGCCTGTGCTACTATTGCCCTCAGATCTAGAAGACTAGTTGATAAAAAATTTATAAAATAATTCATAATGACATCTACAGGTTGAAGAAACCTGTTGATAGAAACATGTATTTAGGGGAGGGCCAGCTCCAAATTCTCTACTCTGATCTTAGTTGAATGTCAGTTTGTAGGACTGACCTATGTCCCTTCAGCAAGGGAAGCAGGATCAATTTGCTTGGTTTTGGATCTGCAAACAGCATTTCATCCAGTGGGTTTTTTTTTTGTAGTGGCTTCCAAATAATGAGGAGTTTAGAGATTTGTTGTTAACTCCTACTGTACTTTTTGAGCCATCTATTCACACTTTATTCCTGTTATTTATCTATGGAATCCGTTGTATCCAACAATTGTTAATACAGCTGTTCAAAGTAACTTTTCAAACCTGCAGCAGTCTTCTGTATAACTAGCAAACAATGTAAATAAAACACCCACTTCAATGAGTGTTTGCTTCATCTTTCCATTTTCTGTTTCACCAGTTGTTCCATTTGACTTGCACCCACCTTCGCCTTTTCAGAACTCCATGTCCACTTTTCCTTCCCCACTGCCCTCTTCTCAGTTCCTTTCTTCACATCAGCATTGTCCTTCCTTAAGGTTCTTCTTCTATTATGTATATTCCTATATCATTTCTGATCCCACATCCACATCCAGCTATTTGATCTGTCTCCAGCAATGCCTGTTTTATTCAATTTCTGATCCCACATCTACATCCAGCTATTTGCTCTCTCTGTCTCCAGCAATGCCTGTTTTATTCATACCCATGGAGATTCTTGTACTCCTTTTCAAAGTTTGCTGTTTCTGAGGGTAAGAAGGATGTGATGCTTATTCTGCCTGCTTCTGCTCACAGCTGAGCTCCTGGTTTACCATCTTTTATACTACCTTGGAGTTCAACATTTATTTTCAAAGCTGAGTGTGAAACTTTTGAGTAAAGGCATTTTTAACAGCAAATCCTAATGGGTCATTAACTCTCATAATGACATACTATATAACAGTCACAGGTGAAGTCAAGACATTTATGAAAAAAATGTACACTGATGCTGAACCTAAAGGTTTTTTTTTTTTCTTACAGCACTGCTATTTCTTATCTTTTAAGGCAGCTTTATACACTCTTACTGCTGTAAAAGTATACCCTTTCCAGCTACCTTCTTGCAAATTTCCACTTAATAAAATAGCTGAAATCTGTACTCACTTATTGTTTTCCACTTATTGAGTATATGATGCTCTGGTAACATATATTTTTAGAGGCAAAGGCTACTGGAGGACCAAAGACTTTTACGTGAAATCCAGAATATGCTTTTATTTGATTAAGAGAAATGAAGGCCAGATCTATCCCGAGTTACTCTTCTTGTATTCTTCCTCTTCAAACTCTAGTTGATATACGAATGCAGAAGGAAAATACCTTTTTTATTGCTGTTTTCCAGCAGATGCCTCTTTTAAAGCTTCTTTTCCAGTTTCTGTCCTTTCCAGTCCCTTTCCAGTTTCTTAGATTGCATTTCACAGCAGTGCTGCATTGCTCTGCTGTCCTGCCTGAGGACTGCATGTGCTCCTGTGTGCAGAGCCTGTGCATCAGGAGCTGGCTGTGCCACTATGATATCATGTGCAGTTCTGGAGAACCTGCTGAGGCAGGGATACAGCACATATAGGACTCCTCTAAGAAAAATCCTCTGTGTCACATTGATGTTTGGACATTCCTATCCAACAACCCCCCCAAAAGAGCAGTCAGTCTGTATATCTTTGCAGTAGCATCCTGAATCAGATTATTTCTTTGTACCTTTTCATGTCTATGACCACTCATCTATAAAGGTATTACACTTTTCTTTTGTAAAAAATGTAATGTGGCAATTATAAAGATGGAGGCATCAGTTCTCATAACATTCTGGCACTTCAGTATTTCCAAAGCTGAAACTCAACTATTTTAGAAAATAAATTCCCTTGCAGACAAATCCAATGGATCCAGACACACCTGAGGTCTCTGCATAAAGCTTTATACAAACACAAATAAAAACCTGTAGCAGAGGGCTCACAGAGAACAGCACTGATGCTGTGACTCGTTCTACCTGGGCAAATCCAGCTGCTGACTGAACTTCAGAGAAGTTAGAAGGGCTTAACGTGAGCTGGCCGAGTCTGCCAGTAAGAATTTGCTTTCAGAGTCTTGAGCCAGTTGTATAAGGAAGATATTACTCCACTGTCCAGCAGGATCCTCTGATTCATTAAATAAAACATTTAGTATTTACCATGACTCATTACATTTATCACTGAAGAAACTCTTTTTCTTAGTAGGAATACAGATCTCACTTTCAAAAGAGCTTTTCTCATCGATCTTGAATTGGAAGTAGCTTAGTTTTGCCTTAAAAGGTGCAGTGTAGATTTTGTATCTGTTTTTTTCTTTCATCAGTAGTAATAAAAAGACATTAAAATCTCATATTAAGATCTCTCTGGAGTAAATGCAATTATAATCTGGTCTCCTGAAATCTCTTATAGTCCAGATATCATAGTAGCTCTGTTGGCTGTCAGCTGACTCCCATTGTTAAAACAATTCAGGACTGAAATCTATGCATATAACTTAGTCACGGGGGCAGACAATCTACAGGAACTGCTATTGTCTATAGGACAAATATGCAGTGAAACGATTATGTGCCCTTTGGGGATTGCTGCTACTAGTCACTGATAGGGTCCCATCTGTTTAACGTGAATGGGCAGGCTAAAGGGAGTTCCCATTGTTGGAGGAAAGGAGTAAGACTGAGGCTTCTGAATGCTTGGAAAGAGGAAAGAATATTTTAAGAAATAGATCATTAAAAAATCGTACTGGTTTAAGTGATAAACTACCACTTTTAGGCATGTTTTATCTCTTTTCTTAATATACTAGGTCTTGCATTTTGTCTCCTGTTGCATATTTTAAATTCTTTAAGCAAACATTGCATCTTTTTATATCTATAACAGGACTAATATGATATAAATGTGTATTATGCATTGCCTTTTTACACAGCGTATATAGTTTGTATAAGCAGCAAATGTATGATATATTATGTTTTCATATACAGAAGGCCCTTGTCTGGTACACACAATTACTGGAGATTTGCTGAGAGCCCTGGAAGGAACAGAGAACTGCTTGTATCCTCGCTTAATTTCAGTATCTAGTGAAGGTCACTGCATCATCTACTATGAACGAGGACGGTTCAAAATGGCAAACTCTTAGCTCAGATGGAGATCAATGATTCAACCAGGGTAAATCTAAATGCAAACAAACATTTGTGCGTGTCACCTTTATCAAAATAAATCGAATTTATTTGCCATGTGGTTTAAAGGAAATCACATATGTAAAATTGCTGCCTCCAGGTTAAGTCATACTCAAACACAGATCCTCTCATCTCTATGTCCAAATGGAAAAATACAATTGAGCTTCACCAGAATAAATAAGAACAAATTGTTTAACATCCCACACAATTCCTGGAATTTTTGTTTGGAATCAGATTTTGGTGGGAACTATGTCTTTGAAGTGAAAAGCTCTGAAATGACTCCATTCTTCATTTCTTAGCCAAGGCATGAATTTGTGCCTTCAGGGCTTTGCTCTGTCACTAACACTTGGAGCAGCATTAGGAACGCAGGTCGCTGCTCTGCTTTAGGTGTTAGTGATGACACTGGGTGTTGTAGGACAAACACTGAAATCTTATCTGCTGTACTCAAGTCTTGGCAGATTCAGTTAAAGAGCTTTTCAGTTGTGTATCATGTCTAAAACCACATGACTAACTTATTTAAAATTTGGAGATCCAAAATTTGTTGGTTTATTTTTTGACTGTGGAGAAAGAGGAGTGAGAGCCTTTTTCTTCAAATTTAAAGTAGGCAGAGCAAAAGAAATGCTTATGAGTTGTTTAAATTTTTGTAATATTGTTCCATTTCCATAGAAGCTGACTGTGTGTTTGGGTTTTGTCTTTTTCTCCTGAAGGCCATCCTCCTGAGCAGCGATGGGCAGAACCTGGTGACAGGGGGAGACAATGGTGTCGTGGAAGTGTGGCAAGCCTGTGACTTCAAGCAGCTCTATATTTACCCTGGCTGTGATGCTGGCATAAGAGCTATGGATCTGTCTCATGATCAGAGGTGAGTTTCTCATTGGTATTTGTGCTTAAAAGGTAAAATTGCACAAACTATACATTTCCATGAACCTTAAAGTATGAATTTATGGTATACAGTCGTTAACAGGATACAGTACAAAACCGTGACCCCAGTTATTACCTTGTTGATTTACCTGGCTCAGCATTTTTTCTAATCCTTCAGTCTCATAGCACAAGTACTTAACATTAAGGTGAGGTCTTTTATCATCGAAGTGCGTAAGCCACTCAGCTAGCAAAATAGGAGTAAAATTACATTAACTTTAACGAATGGTCAGGCTGGATTGAAATTCACTACTGCCTATTGCCCAATGCCTTAAAAACAATGACAGAGGTTTGTGGTACATTTCTGATTTTCAGCTATGTAGAGCTTTAGAATTTCCTGGGGTCGCATCTAGACTGTAATATGTAACAACAGTAGATCTATCCAACAGGAGTGAGTGTGGTCTTTTTCTCTGACCTTTTTGAGCAACGAAGATGCAGAGTACAAGCCTAGATTTTTGCAGTTCGTGCTGTGGGACTAAAGTACACTCGCTAAATGTAAAAGATATATGAACCTGATCCTTCAGTCTTCTATTGTAATGTGACTATAGTGTAAACCTATATGTTGCATTCATGCAGGGTTATGAGTGGATTTACTGTTTATGTCACGCATCAGTGTTGTATTTCTTTTTAATAAACAAACTCATGACATGCAAAGAATTCATAGAGTATGAGAAAAATCATATAACATCCATTTCAGTTTATTTTTCTTACACTTTTCAGCATTCCTATGCAATGTGCAATGAGTTCTTGTAGAGAAACAAAAAATACCTATAAACAAAATACGTGCCTAATTTACTCATCTAAGTGTAGAAGACTTGAAACAAGATATTTGTCTCAAACAGTCTAACTGAAACTAACTTACTGGAAGAGACCTTCTGGAGCTTTGCCACTTTATGCATACAGTACTGTGCTTTGTTCAAAGAAATTTATTTATACTGCAGAAAATTTCAGCTAGCCTATTTTCTCTATCCCATATTGCAATATTAGGCTGGGAAGCCCCAGCTGTGGAAAGTGCTTTAAGTACCTGCTTAGCTTTAGTCACATAATTAAGCAGAGAATGGCTTTTGTATGGTTTGATAGAAGTAGTGATAGATATCTAATCCAATTTTAAAACTCAACTACTAAAATTCGAGGATATGTGATAACTGGAAAATCACCTCAACTATTGCCAACAGAGCAATGTAAATATGGGGCTATATTTCAATATGAAGCTTTTTAGGAGTACCAGCTCAGTTGTGTTTGCAGAGGCATCTCATTCTCTCTGGAAGGCCCTAGGATACCCAGCTGATCCCAGCTGCAGCCCCAAGTGCAGAGGGCTCCACAAGTCCTGTGTCCCAGCTGCCATCCAGCATAGACATGTCAGTCACCCTGGGGCACCTTCAGTGATGTGAGGTGCCTAAAATTAGGCAGCTGGGTTCTAAAATATCTGAATGAAGCTGTTTTAGCATAGATACCTTCATGTGAGCTACAGGAATAAGCTCCCGTAATAGCTGTTGCAATTTAGTTGCTACAGCCTGTGAAGTTTAGAGGACAGGTAAGCTCACATGCTTATCTTAGAGAGATGGTCTCAGGCTCACCGAGAGTACTGATTAGGGCTTAATTGGATTGCCTACCCACAGCACTGTTTTAGATACCTTGGAGGTCTCAGGTGCATATCTAAGGTGGCACATATGACAAAGGACCTAGTGAAGACACATCCAGTGAGAGGGTGAGGCAGCTGGAGGCAAGGCAGGATATGCAAAAGCATCTCAAGTGGCGTGATGCTTTTGCCTGTGTGAAGGCAACTGAGTGGACCTCTAGATCTCTCTTGACCATAATGGGAACGTGGAAATTTGGCTCATATGCCAACATCTAAATGTAGTGTCTTCATCACAAACTGAACGCCACATGTGGGAGCTTAATCTTTAGACAGTGTTGCAAAGTGTGCCTCCTTCTGTGTGCTCTTTTCCCTGTTCATGGTAAAGCACTGCTTGAGAAGGTTGTGAAGAGGATGAACAGGACTATTTTTTTTTTCTATCTTTTTCAGAACTCTGATTACTGGCATGGCTTCTGGCAGCATCGTAGCTTTTAATATAGATTTTAACCGGTGGCATTATGAACATCAGAACAGATACTGAAGTGGAATGAAGAACTGAAAGCCCAGGTAAAGCTGAGAGCACAAGTGCTGCAATGAAAGGTGTAGTCTCTGGTGGAAAAACACGTCTGCATTGACCTCCGTTGTACATTCCATTACACCCAGCAATAGCTGTACATTGTAGTCAGCAACCATTTTACTTTGTGTGTTTTTTCACAACTGAACACCAGCTGCTGAACAGCAAGCTTGTATCATGTAAATTATATGAATTAGAAGATGTTTTGGTAATTATTTCATATATCTTTGTTTATTGAGAAAAGGTAGTAGGATGCGCCACAAGAGACTTTTGAAAATTCTGGGGAACCTCGTGTCCAGTTATTTCAATGTTTAGGCTTTGAACCTAACATGCATCCCATCTCCAGCCTCTTTTCAAGCTGAGATTAAAAAAATACGTTTGATACTTTGTACATCAGATGCACATCTTAACTTTAAAGGGATACTTTTGTAAAAGTAAAACCTTGTATAAAGAACAAAACTGTTTCTTAATTTTATTGTGGAGTTACAACTTGCATGTACTTTAAACCTGATGTCATGAAGGAACAGGTGCATTCACACAAATCAAACTGGAGATCTGCCGAAGGGTACAGCTTGTGTTAAAGGGTTGAATTTGGGCTCAAACAGTAGTTTTGACATTTCCACCAACACGTTTTTCACTTTTTGGATCTCAACTTTACCCCTCTTAAGTGGAGTTCTGCTCATGAAGCGTTTGGATAAAAAGCCATCATTTGCCATATTTATACTTTATACAATAGAAATTAAATTCCTCCCTTTTAAATTCAAAGACTAGACAGAAAAGGAACAAAGAGAGAAGTTCAGTTTAATGCTTTGCAATGCTTAATGACTCCCAATACAGAAAAAGTGCTATACTTCTGGATTATAAACATTTGGCATACAAATCATGGGCGAGAGCCCACAGTGATTTTTTTTCCCCCTTATTTTTCCTCTGAGCAGCTGAGTTTATTTGACAGCCTTAGCTTCATTGTAAAGGTGGCTGAGGTTGTTATTTTTGGTTCTTCTGAAAATCTCACCCAAAGCCACTCGGAGTCAGAAACTTCATGTTTTACAATACTGTAATTATAACTATCGGAATAATTTTCTGCACATTGTACTGATCAAATTACACACCCAGGGGTACATACACTTTAATTCATGTTTCTTCTTTGTATATTTGGTGACTGTATTGTCATAGATGTACATATTGTGTCGGTAGGGCTATGAGGCATGTAACAGGAATGTAATTTTCTCAGAATTTACACTCACTTGCAGTCATTTATTTAAAAAGATAATGGATTCTTTGTATTGGCACTTTGCACCAGAAACATATCATTATTTATTGATGTGATTACTTATTTGTTATCCACCTTGTATTAGTAAGTTTAGCACTGAATTTCCTTCTCCATTGTTGTTTGTATTTATAAGGTTCAGAAGTCATGGGGATCAACGTAATGATTAAGTTATTCATCACCCGTCTGTAAGCAATATCTTGAGTTTGTAGCTTAGAATTGGGAGACTATTGAACATCTGGAAGACAAGTTCATTTCATCTTGAGATCATGGTGAAATATTTTGGATATATAAATTCCTTAAGCTATTGTAACCATGTTTTATTGCAAAGATGTAAAATATGCCAGATGTGTGTGAGTTGGAAATCAAAAAGAAAAATAAAATATGCAAAGAATTCAGTGATTGTTTTTCATTTCAGTGAGCTTTTCATCAAAACATTCACATTATCATTAGGAACAAGCAATTATTTTAAGAAATCCTCTCTTATATGCTACGTATGTGCCAAAAATAACGCATGCCTGGGTGGTTGTATTTCCTGGGGTCTCAGGATATAAAATAGAGGTTACAGAGTGTGTTTTGCAACTCTTTTGATTGTCAGTACATGAAGAGAAGCCACTAAAGACACTTTGATCAGCAGAAGTGAAAAATCAAAGCCTTTAAAGGATATCTAGGATCCTTGTGGACAGGCAGTAAACTTGTATAACAGACCTCTCAGACAGCAAATGTCTGGTGAGAGCTGGTTTGGGTATCTCTCAATATCTGGTAAGATGAAATTCATTTAATCTTATTTTGGGCATTGAAAGTTAGATATCTACGTTCCTTCATAGCAGAACAAGACAGGTGGGATAAATTGCCTTTTGGAAATGCTGAGGTCCCTACAAATAATATGTATGTGGTAAGTGGAGACAGAGAGTTATCTAAATGTCAGCTGTATACTTTAAGCTTTTTTGTTGTTCATTAGCAATGAACAACAAAATACTTTCTTCATAACTACAAAACTCTTGATTGACAAAAAAGCAGGATAACAGCCAACACTTCAATTTGTTGTTCTGCTCATTGCCTTTCCATTTCAAAGGTTTTTTTCTTTAAACAGTTAACAAAATGAACTAAAACAAATATTTGAGATCCTTATTAGAACACAAGTATACGTTTTAGCAGATATCTACTTAGAGCAATCAGCTTCTGAAGTTCATAGGATAATTTGATTGTTTTGGGGCTGGAGGAGAGATGAGGGAGGAGGTGAGAGGATCAGTATGTTAAAAGTGGCATGTGAAACCATTTATTGATATGTCACAACCTCCATTCTATTATTACACAAGGATCATCCCTATTTTAATATTTTATTCAACAAATTGACTAAAAAAAAAAAAAGACCAGTGCAGTGTAACCAAACATGACTGTTACTATTCTCTTACTTAATACTGTTGTTTGCATGAAGTCTCTCAGTGTTATCTGAAGTACAATTTAGTCACAAAATAGAAGATTTTGTGCCCAAGAAAACCTTTGTATGAGAAATTGGTCAGGTGTTACAAAAAGAAAAAAAAAATCTTACTGTATTGCATTCATAGGGTACCCAAACAAGTCAGACTCATAATAATAGTAATAATAATAATATGTCTGCTTTAAGTTATAAAAATGAAGTTTTCATGAAGGCACAAGACAAGGATAACGCATTATCAGGCTGGTGTAGTTACACAGACCAGCCTGATACAGTTTTTGTGGTGAAAAAACACTTGCATTTTAACCTCTTTTTAATTTATATTTTTCAGGTTTTTTTTTTTAAAAAAAAAACAGTTATGATTGTGCCAGGATACTTAAATTCCCTTGCTGATTTTTGTTAATTACATTAGCGTATACCTATCTGTTGCAGGGTCTCTTAATGCAAAAAGGCAATACCCACAGATCTCTGGTTTATGTCACAAGACTTTGCAAAAGCTTCAGCTGCCCCATTTCTGTCATACAATGAAGCTGGGCTGACTTGCCTTTTTTCTCCACAGAAATGAGACTTACTGACTCTAGGGAGTCTCTGAGAGCTGCCTGTGGAAGATGAAGCAGCTTTGACCAAATGGGTTAGATGTGACCAATCTCTCAGCTAAGAGAGGTGCAGCATTAAGGACAGAACTGTGCAAGATATGCATACAATGAAAACAATGTGCAGTTATTGGCTGTGTTCCTGCCAGTTAGTTGTAGGTTAAGAATTGGACTATAAGACAACACCATACTGGGAGGACAATGCAACAGCTATGAGGCTTATTCTGTGTCCAGATCCTACCACTGTTTGGTAGGATGCTGCTTTCTCTGGAAGAGTAATAATAACAGAAAGCCTGCTGTATTTTACCTCAAGAAAAGACTAGTTAGGCTCAATGTACTCAAAAAGCGTTGGATAAACAATGATTATGTTGAAATGGAGTCTCACAGGTTGGGCTTGTAGAGCTAAAAATGCTGCCTGTGAACAATTGTGGTGCATACTTGTTAGAATATAGAGCATCAGCCCTGCTGACAAGCGAGCAGGATGTTTGAAGCCAGCCTCGTGCTGCCAGGGATAAAAGCTTTTGAAGCAGACACAGGGAGTGAAGGGCTGACTTCTGATAACAGCAAGAGAACCACCTCCTGATACAAGACATCTAATACATATAAATATTTCATTTTGAGACTTCTAGCTGGGGTTCAAGCTCACATTTTCCCAGGGTTTAATTGTGCTCTGGTTTTATTTAGGTGTTTGTGTGTGTGTGTTGCTTGAAAACACTAAAAATTGATGGAATAAAACTTAAGCTGGTATTTGAAGAAGGAAGCACTGGAAACATGTCTGTGCAACGCAGTGCAGTTGATAGACTCTGTAACCCCAGCAATTAGTTTTGCAACATCTACAGTTAAGTTTCAAATCCACAAGCGACAAGAAAAGTCTGAAGATTATTTTCTTGAAAAATTTATAAGCTGCAGCCATATAATTAGTTTACAGAGGGATTTACATAGATGAAAATCTGTCAAACAGCTGACTCTGTTCATGAGTCCCTCTATGGTGACATCTTGCCTAAAGAGCACTACAGTTCCACATCATTAGTTAGAAGTAAGTCCTCTCTCAGTTGTATCCCATTTGCACAGAGAAGGACCTGGGTACCTAACATGGGTACCTATGCACAAAATTAAGAGCCTGGAGTGCTTCTATTCATGAAAGGATTGACATAAGGGCTCCATGTGCCTGAGGGTGTCACAATGCCAAGCTACTTTCAGCCTAGCATTCCTAACATCAAGCAAAGAATATGCTTTTATACACAAAACTAGATAGGGGGAAAAAAAAATCTCCTCTGGTGCCAGAAGATTACAGACAGCTAAAAGCTATCAGCATCAGTGGATTTGGCTTAAAAGTTCCACTGTCTGTTTATGCTTTGAAGAGAGACAGTCTTGGCAGGATGCTGCTATGACCAAGCCCTGTGGCAAAGCTAATCCTAGTATCATAGCTCTGCAAATCTGAGCCCGATGCACTTAGTTTCCCTCACTGTGTAGCAGAACTAGCGACTGCCAGAAAAGGCAGCAGAACAATTGAAAGGGGTCTTTCAGTCTCTCTGTGCAGCTAGACATAAATATCCAGTACCCCTGGCTGGTCAGATAACTCAGTTTGTACAGAGCTATCAAACAGGAAAAAAAAATAGTGTTCAATGTGGCCAATGTCTCTGTATGTGTATCTTTGCAAATAATACTAGTAGAAAAAAGTTGTAGCTTGAGTAGGAAGGCAGGAGGACTCTGGGTAGGGGTCAGGGGCCTGGAAAAAAGTCAGAGGGCCAGATTTTGTCTACAACAAAACACTTGATCCATTTCTTCCAAATAAGCCCCAAAAGATAGTCCCATCTCCATTCTTTTAGTGTCCCTTCCCTCTCTCTTTCATCTAATAAACCCTTTTTCCTACTTTGTTTTCAGTTGCTATAAGGAGCAGGTGGTAAGTTGAAATTTCTCTCTCCTGTAACCGTGTCCCTCCTGGTATCCACCACATACTCTCACTCCCCCTTAATGCCAGGGACAACTAAAGCAGATTCAGCATAAAACACACACAGATGATGCTCCTGAAGGCCTATACAATTCTCTTCACCAAGCTCCTTGTTGCCTCAGTGTGAGCTGCAGGAGGTAAAAACATCACATGAAAAGGGTATCCTGTCCTTCAGCTGTCTATTTGAGCAGAAGCAGTGGTCATGTGGGAGCATTATTCTCCTAGTCATTAACCCAGGTCAAGGCCCTTCTCTGGCCTGAAAGCAAGTGAGAGTGCCTCTAGCCATGCCACCAGACTCCCTGGGACCAGCACCTAACCCATCCTACTCCACGCACACTGCAGGGTGTTGGTTAGAGGGTGATCCATTAAAGGCCTGCCAGTTAGACAACACATCACAGCACAGCACCCAAACCTCCACCTTTCATTCTTCAAGTTGTTGGATGTACCCAAGGCACCTACAAGTAGCCCTTGGGCTCCATGATCACCAGCCTATCAACCATACCACACAGTCACAGCAGATAGGGCTTGGGACTCAGTAATAACTCCCAGCCACAGGTTTATGCACAAGATTGATCTATCCTTTTTAGGCACTACACCCTAAGACTACAGCTTTTGCATCACTGACTGCTACTATTTCAATAACTTATGTGGAAGATGCTCAGCTTTTTAAGACTTTAGTGCTTTTTTGTCCTGCTCAGACTCATATTCCCCTTGTGTGCTGCCTTATGTGCATGTTTGCATGAGGGAACATTAGTTCAGACTGTAAAGAACTTCTGCTTGCTCTATAGACCTCAAGAGGTATGTGGTCAGGGCTCCTTCTTGGCCATTCCTCCATGAATCTCATTGACACCAGCTTTAGATCCATGGAATTGGATACCTTGGAAAGATGTAACAAGCTACCATCACCATTGCTATAGCAATGTCAGACCCTCATTGCAGAGGCTTATTCCCTAACTTAATAGGTCCCTCAGTGGTAAAAAGTTATCTTGTGGGAGATAAGCCTGCTAGCCAGGCACCTACTGCAGCACTCAGAAATGTCAGGTGGGAAGGATTCAGCTGGGACATAAAACCCCAGACAGGTAATGAAGGAACATGGATCCTGTGCAGGAGCTGGCTACAGATAACGTACTCAGGGACACCTCATTCTGTGTAGGCTGGGATTAGTGTCCCAAGGGGTGCTGATCCTTCTTTGTTGATGGATGATCTGGCCAGTACACTGGCCAGGAATACCTGGAGAGTTCCATGTCAGTCCCTAATGAATGTGATGGGGCAACACATACACAACTAGAGAGCTTAGGGGTTATGGCTTTCTGCAAAGTACAATCTGTTAACTGAGGGGGGAAAGAATAAGTTTTGAATGTACATAAGGATAAAAACTTGAAAAAGATTGCTTGCCTTCAACTTTT